TTGAAAAAACCCACAGTCCTGTCTTTTTTGTATCTTGATTCTAATTTTACCATTGACCACCAATCAACCGCTATACCCATTTTTTCAAGCTCTTGTTTGTCCTTTATCTTCAGCTCTTTTGTTAACAGATTTTCATATGTGGTTAACATTCCTTTCTGGTTCTGGGTTTTTAATGAGAATGCCTCTATCGGTGCCACCCACAATGGGATTTTCTCATAAGTTTGTGCTTGAAATTTCTGCCATACCATCCTTGCTGGTAGCCATTAATTTCGCGTGTTCTAAGAGAGAACCAATTTAGATGAAAAAGGGCGGGATAGATAGATATTAGTATGTGTGTGTGTGCACGTACTCTAGTCCACACGCCCGTAATCTCAAGATTAGACCAATGTAATGCACTCTACGTGGGGCTACCTTTGAGGCTGACGCGGAAACTTCAGATGGTCCAGAATGCGGCAGCCAGGCTTCTTAGTGGGGTGAGAAAACACCAACATATCTCCCCCACTCTGGCTGCTTTGCACTGGTTGCCCGTCCGTTTCCGCGTTGACTTCAAAGTGTTAATGATTACATATAAAGCCCTAAACGGTTTGGGACCTCAATACCTGGCAGATCGTCTTCTCCCACCCAGAACTACCCGAATCACCCGACACAGCCAGCAGGGACGGCTGAGGGGTCTGACGCCGAGGGAGGCCCGGAAGGAAAAAACAAGAAATCGGGCCTTCTCGGCGGTGGCCCCTCGGCTGTGGAACACCCTCCCCACTGAAATTCGGCTGGCACCCTCGCTGGGCATTTTCAAAAGCCAGCTGAAAACTTGGCTATTCAAGCAGGCCTTCCCTTCAATCAATTAAGTCATTCTTATTTTTCTTCTTTTATTCTTGCCATCTTGGGACTCTTTGCTTTAAATTAACTGTTAAAATCATAAATTTATATTACATTTTATATCATTTTGTTTTAATGTAAAACTGTATATTTTAAATTCTTTTTATCTTCTAAATTGTGAGCCGCCCAGAGTAGACTATGTCTAGATGGGCGGCATATAAATGCAATAAATAAATAAATAAATAATGATAATCATCAAAACAACAAAACAGCAGTGAAAATAGAGCTGCATCTATTACGTCCTAAGCTCCAGCAGTAAGCATTTCATCACAGCAGTAGAAGAATCTTCCAGAAACCACATACATCTGTTCTTCAAGGAGTCGTATATTTATTGATTTTATTTTGAGGGTGATGGGAATTGTATGCAAAGTTCATGCAGTCTTGCTACGTGACTAGGTGGGTGCTCCAAAGTGTGAGGCAGCCATGACAGCAAACCCAAGCAGATGTAACTTTCCCCTTCTCTGAAGCCCCATCTTCTCAGAAGGGATGGATCTGTGTTACTTCATTTGAAATGTCTCTTCGGGCTGAACTATGTAACAAATAGGATGGCATTTTGGTATTGCTGAGGAATTGCTTCAAAATGTGTTTGTTGTCTATCCAGGGGCTGGGGGAGCAGATGCAGCTGGCATGTTCACATCAATGACCCTTAAAATCTCAGAGCTAGGATCACAATTGCTTCAGAGAATGACATCTACTTCCTGGGGAAACTGGAAGGATACTTTGGATCCTGGGGGATTTCATGACATTTCTTTTTTTATTATTATTAGCGCAGTGCACACCATGCGGCTGAGCACTTTTCTAATGGCTTTTTTTTCTTTTTCTTCCTCATTCTGAAGTAAAATATGTTGCTGATCCTTTTTTTGCTTGCAAGGTCAGGAGAGATTTTCCTTTCTCCCTTTTCCCTCCAGTCCACAAGTCTTCAGACGGCTTCTGCTTTTGTCAGTTTTAGTCGAGTGGTTCCACATAGGGCCAAGATACAAAAAGAGGGTTGTTAACAGAAGGTTCTGTCACAGTCGGCTGAAGCAATCAGGATAAGTGCAAAGAAGGCATCAGAGATGGGTGGGGGAACCAAACTGAAACATTGCACAGGAACAGTAGTGAATCCATAACCTACCGTTTCTATGCTGCTTCGAGAAATTTATATTTGAATTTCAGGCAAGTTTCGGTTGGTATACTTCTTTATTATTACATGGAGAATTGTGGCAAAGGCATATGAGGCAGGCAGCCAGAAAGGCTTCTTTGTAATCGGCAATTTCCAGTTTAATGAACAGGATGACTAATTCACACCGTCGGTTTCCAAGATAAGCTTTACAAACAATGCTGATGAACAAGCATTAAGCCAAAATTTCTCAGAATACATATTTCTACAAAACATCCTTTATATTCTTGTTGTTCAGTGCCTCAAGTCACTTCCAACTCTTAGCAACTATAATAGGGTTTTTAAGATATGTAAGTGAGGTTCAAGGAATGGTTTATGGCCACCAGTTCCCTGCCACCAGTAAGTTTCCATGACTATCTAGGGATCTGAACTCATGTCCTACTCCAGTGCTGCATCTACAACACCATGCTGGCTTTCGGTCCTTTTTTCTTTTTTCCTTTGCTAGAAACAGAAGGCCACTCATCCCCATTTTTTGGTGGCAGCTTCCTCCTCTTCCACGATTAGGACCTTGAGCAACTCTAGATAGAGGGCACTGCAGAAGAAACAAAATGACTGCTAGGCTGACCACAGGCTTGTTGCGCTTAACACTTGCCACGGCAGTGCAAAAAAACAACATCATTTGAGGGGGAGGAGGAGAGGAAGGAAATGAAACCTGTACTAGGACTACAGCTAATGTTGATCCCCACTTCTGAACAACTGCTGGAAAGTGGCTTTTTCCTCAGGAGAAATTTGGTGAAATACCCCACTTCGCACATTTCTCTTCCCCTAAGTAGGCTGGAGAGTTTTGAGAAACTGGTTGTGCACAATTGTATCTTTCCTGCCAGAAATGGAAGTTTGCTGGACTTTCTCCTTCCTGTACCAAAACACATTGGCTGAATTTGGGTAGCATGGTTTTAACCTGATGTGTATGGGGTCTCTCCCTCCCTCCCTCTCTCTCTGAGACCATTTGTTATTTTGCCTCAGGCAGCAAAACATCTTAAGCCAACCTTGACAAACAGCTCTCTTTCACTGTTGAGGACACATTACGAAAGGGGGTTTGGGACCCACAGAGGACAGATTTGATTGTTACAATTGAATGTGTCTGGTATTCTATGCCACCTACAAAAATGTTGCAAACTTCAGTGTGTGTGTGTGTTCTATGCAATCAAGTCAGAACTGACTTATACCAGCATTAACAGGGCATTCAAGGTAAGTGAGCTATTTAAGGAGAGCTTTCAACCAGTTCCACACCCTCAATGAATGTTTAGACTGTAACTGTAGCCCTTCTCTTGCCAGCATGGCCCATTATCAAGGATGTTGAGAAGTGTAGTACAACATCCAGGGAATCTGGGCTGGGAAAAACTGGAGCCAGTCCTGAGAGGAGCATGTTGGCCTTTGAGGTTGCAGACACCTCTGACTTGCTTTGTCTTAGTCTTAGATTCATGACCGTAATAATGATTGACATAGAAGACTATTAGGGTGTATGTTAGAACTAATGGTGATACTGGGGTCATCATTACATTTAATGGCATATCTTGGGCCAAGAGACCTATTTAGCTGTCTGTTTTTGGAGAGTCAAACAGCAACTGGATTATAGAACACTTACCAACACTACAAAACGGATCTTGCTTAACATATCTCAGGCACCAATATAGGAAAAGGCCAATGTAGTATCATGATTAAAGTTGTGGGGTGGAGGTGCTGCTATGCACTGCAGTCACTTCTAAGAGCTCCACCCGATGGTCACATGGAAATGCATTAATAGATCCAAACGAGTTAGATTTCTGCAGTTTGGCCCTGGGCTTCATATACGCCGTGGAGGTGCTGCTATGCACTGCAGTCACTCCTAAGTGTTCCACCCGATGGTCACATGGAAATGCACTAATAGATCCAACCGAGTTAGATTTCTGCAGTTTGGCCCTGGACCTCATGTAATTTGAAACCATAGTTTTCAGAGTTTTCTAATTTTGCAAGGAGGCTACAGAAAAATATGAATATATATATGATAGTCTCCCCCCAATTCATACTTCCTATGTATAGATTGTTTGTTAAGTTTCCCCCCTGCTTTAAGAATATTTGGTTATTCAATAAACAATTCATTTAAAACAAAAATGGCTGTGGAGCCTCATGAGCAACAAGCGTTAAGCCAAAATTTTTCAGAATACATATTTCTAGGAAACATCCTTTTTATTCTTGTTGGTCAGTGGCTCAAGCCACTTCCAATTCAGAGCAACTATAATAGGGTTTTTAAGGTATACCACTGATATTCAAAGAATGGTTTATGACTACCAACTTTCTCCACCCCCCCCACCCCACCCCCAGTGAGTTTTGGTTTTTAAGGTATACCACTGATATTCAAATAATGGTTTATGACTACCTACGTTCTCCACCCCCCCACCCCACCCCCAGTGAGTTTCCATGGCTATTTGGCCATCTGCTTTTATCTCTGAGTCTCTCTCTCTCTCTTTAATTGCAAAAGGTTTCACAAGACTATTTTGTTAGATGCACAGAAGAAACAGTAAACATAGATAATGTATATGTAGACACAGAGAAGATGGTGGTGGGGTTATTGCAGGATGAGATAGAAATATCAAAAAACAGGCACAAAAAGAGCGAAACATGATAATCTTGGAATAAATAACAGTCATAATATGACCAAGGTAACTGGTCACAATCCTAATAGTTTTGAGGATTTTTTTTAAAAAAGGCACAGCTATGTTTTATCTTCTAGGTTTTCTGGACTGGTATTAATTGTTTATTGAGAGCTAACTCTGGCCTTATTTGGTGCTCTTGCAGGACGGCGAGATCCGAAAACAGAAGAGGGCTCCTGAATGCCATGTCCAGTACCAGCAGCAAAAGCAGCAAGAAGAGCCTTTTGCATGCAGCCATCCAAAGTCCTTGGAAAAAATGCCAACACGCAGTTCCACAATGTCTCCTTTTTTTCTCCTTACTAGATTGCACGTGATACTTCTCTTTGTATTTAACCTTTGGGAAATAGCTGATGGGGAACCTTTAGATCATTCCATTTACAGGCTTCAAAATAATCCCTGAAGTACACGACAATCAAAGATTTATAGCCGTCTGAAAGGCACCAGAGTTTCTTTCCAATTAGGTTCAGTCACTGAGTGACAAGGAGCAGCAATCTCAAGTTATTGCAAAGTAAGCAAGAGATAAAAATGAATGGAGAAAACCATACCCTCTCTAAAACTGTCACCATAGCCATCAATGGCTAAATACATCTCCAGTCACTGACTGTATTTTAAGAAGATAGTAAGCATGCAATTCAAAAGGCCTTTCTTCAGTTTATGGGGATATGGGATCATAATATTGGTACTCAATAAGAAGCATTACTTCTTGCTATAGTCAGAAGTGCATGCATGCACACACATGGGAACGTATATTCTATATCTCTTAGAGGAATTGCAGGGGAATAACTAAAAATCTATAATTTAACCTAAAAAGCTACAATTTAGAAACCCATACAAATCTGACCTCTTATGATAGCGCCCAATAATGTCTCCTATGGTACACCCTGGCACGCATCTGTTGCTCTACAACAACAACAACAACATCAACAGCAACAACAACAACCACAGAACTAGAAGGGACCCTCTGGATCATCGAGTCCAGCCTCCATCAAGGAGGCACTGTGGGGGATTGAACTCCTCACCTCTGGATCTGCAGCCAAAGACCTAAACCCCTGAGCTATCAAGCGGTTCAACATTATAATGGCCAAAATCTTACTGGGAACCCCGTGCATTTAAGGGCAAGGGTGCAGTCATGTTTTCCTGTTTTGCTTACAATCCGTCACACCAGGCATACAACTCATCATGAGACCAGTAACAGACAGAGGGGACCGAAAAGGCAGAACTATTTGCCTAATGCACCTTATGTGATTCCATAAAATGATAAGATTCTGGCCTTTGTAAAGCAAAATAATGTTGTTTCAACACAACATTAGATATATCTCTGCAACTTTAAACAAATACACTCTCAAAATAGTTTGGGCCCCCCAAAAAAAGACAATAAAAACATCTGGTGTTGATGATCCTCGCTGAAGCAATGCAGACACAGATGACCTACCAGCTTTCACTTTAACTGCGAAGATTCCTTAAAGATTAAACATTTGTTTTTCATACTATAAGGTTTCTGACCTGTACAAGCTGTGAATTAGGTTGCTTTTGCTCTGTGATTGGTCACTGTGAGTTAAGCATGGGATTCATTTGCACGTCAACTGCACAGACACAATGCTTTGAAAAACTATGTTTAGAGGGTATTATTTTATCAATGCTTGAATTATGAAATGGGCTCTCATCTGTTTCTGCTCTAAGTAGATGGGTTATCACCTCTATTTGCCAAAAATGATTCTATCTATGGAAAGTTTTTTTTTATTGTTTGAGTCGCACAGAAATTAAACAGAAAGCCAATGGAAGGAAACTATTCTGCTTCAAGGAGTGTTTACACACTGCTTATATAGAACCCTCCTTTTTTTTTGCAAACTGAAATTTCAGCAATGTATATAGAAGAGCTTTCCAAAGCTGAATTCACATCTTTATAATTGCCTGAGTTGAGTCTCTTAGCATTGAGAAAACCTATATAATGTTTCCAATTCCATCACAACAATCAAAAGAGTGTCTCACCTTTGTATTCAAAAGCATTGCCCAGTTATGAAAGAAATCAAATTGATTACATCACTTACCTGCCAGAGGTTGTGGGTGTACAGTGTTTAGTTCTGGGCACCATATTCTTAGAAAGTCATTGATAAACTGGACTTGAGCAGCCAGGATGGCATTGGATCTGGAAAACCAGGTCCTATAAAGAACAATTTTTGCAAGCAGGTTATGTTCAGCCTAGAGAATAGAAGATTCATGCAAGGCAAGGCAGTGGCCACATGTTTGAAAGGTTGCCATTCAGAAGATTGAACTGCTTTGTTCTCCTTTGCTTTGGAGAACAGGAAATGAGCAGAAACTGTAGGGAAACAAATGTCATTTGAATGTTAGGAGAAATGTCATAATGTTCAGAACTGACAGTAGAACAGGTTGCCTCAGGAGGTTAAGGGCTCTCCCTCACTGGAGGTCTTTAAGCATAGGCTGTATTGTCAACCACCATTAATACTGGTATTAATCCTGCATTGCAGGATGTTGTCTTAGGTGACTCTTGTTGATGCCATGAACTAGCAGCCTTCAGAAGGTCCTGCCATAAACAATCCTGCCCAGATATTGCAAACTCAAGGCAACAACTTCTTTTATAGAGTCCATGCATCTCATATTTGGTCCTCCTCCTCTCCTGTTGACTTAAATTTTTCTCAGCATTACTGTTTTGTCATGTGTGGGAATGATAACATTCCCACAGAAGGCAAGGACTCTTCTATCCCTATGGTAATCCTAGTCCAAGTATCCTGATGTGGAAAAAAAGCCTTATTGGATTCCTGCTACAACAGGGCTAGGGAACTGGAATTGAAAGAGGTATATATGCAAGCTTGAAAGCCATCTTACAAACAACAATCAGACTTTGCCCTCCTTCACCACTTCCCACCTTGAGATTTGCCTGTCCACCTGGAGACCAACAAAACAGAGCAATTCCCTGAGATGTCAGCCAGTGTCATGAGATGAGGCAGCCTTCCTGCCCGGTCTACACAGAACATGAATTCTCAGATTGGGAGCAGATAAAGCAGAACAGAAGTAGCTCACTATTTCAAGGTAAGGACCTTCTAGCTCCAAACAACCTGTGAACAGAGCTCTGCTGGTTTCAGAAATCACTTCTGCAAGCATCCATATTTGCCTGTTCCCAGAATGTCCTCATCTGCTTCTGTGTTAGCTGTAAAATTTCCCCATTAATACCAGCACATGCATCAGATCATCAAAACTGCTACTGTAATGTTCAGAGGACATATGGTTATAGTTTTTTAATAGTTGGACCTCATCTGAACATCCCAATAACAATTTTAAATATTATTTAAATATTTATCTTTCTGGAAAACAATGCAGTTGCATAAATTTGCTCTACATTAAATCCAGTCTGACGGGCAACCTTTAACAAACAATTGGCTTTGCACAGGAAGAAAATAAATCCTGTCTTCGGGATACTGCTTGAAGAAGATTGACAGCAATAAGGTACCATTTAGTTATTAGGTGAGCAAAACCTAAAGGTCACTTCCCAGTTGCAATCAGGTTGACCTTTCTTCCTGACAGTTGACTCCAGTTAGATAGTCAAAAACATAAGTCCAAATACTCTGTCTAAATCAGGATCAATTAACTGGTACTTTATATAGTCTGAAAGTTTAACCTCTAGGAATGGCACTCAGATAAACTTTAGTTTTGCCTTTAACAATCTTTGCAGGCAACAAAAGGCAGGCACGTAACTTATTAGGAAGAGATTTCTGTCAGCTCGGTGCTATCAGATCTGATCTGGCTAAAAAAACAGCAATAACCTGTCCTTGATATCTTAGATATAATTGGCATTAATTCATTATTACACAGAGATGGTTGCACAGGTCAAACTCTACTTTAATTGGTTGCAGGTTGTTTGGGCTGTTTGGCTGTGTTCTTAAGGTTTTTCTTCCTAACGTTTCACCAGTCTCTGTGGCCAGCATCTTCAGAGGACAGGAGTCAGAACTCTGTCTGTGCTCTGGGGCAGTTTGTGGGATAGTCGAGTATTTATAGCTATGGGATCAGCTTTTGTCCTTTTCAGGAGATTGGATGATTATGGTGTTTTTTGTTGTGGGTGTATTGTTGTGATAAGGGGGAGAGTTGATCTGTCACTGTGATTGATGGGCATCATTATCTAATCTTTTGTATGCAGTGATCACCGGTCCTTGTGGTTGGGTAGACTTCGTTGACCTTTTTCAGGCTGTATGTTTCAGTGCTGGAAGCCAGGCTTTGTTGAGTTTTAGACTTCCTTTTTTGTTGTTGTTGAAGCTCTGCTGGTGTTTGTGGATTTCAATGGCTTCCCTGTGCAGTCTAACATAATGATTGCTGGTGTTGTCCAGTACTTCAGTATTTTCAAATAGAATTTCATGTCCAGCTTGTTTCAGGGTGTGTTCAGCTACTGTTTGTTTTAGTCTGCAGTGTCTCTCATGTTATTTGATTCTGGTGTGGATGCCGCATTTTGTAGTTCCAATATATACCTGGCCACAACTGCAAGGTATCCGTTACACTCCTACAGTGGTGAGGGGGTCTCCTTCGTCCTTTGCTGACCGTAATATTTGTTGTATTTTTGTGGTGGGCCTGAATACTGTTTGTAGGTTGTGTTTTTTCATAAGTTCCCTCATGTGGTCCATGGCCCCTTTGATGTATGGCACAAATACTTTATTTGTCGGTAGCTGTTTTTCAAACAACACCAAACTGAAGAGAATACAATTGATGGTTTGGAATAAGTGCTAAAACAATGTTTATAATTACAAGAATGATTCTAAGCAAACTTTGGGCTTCCTTCTTCTTCTAGTGTGGCTATTAAATTGAACTTGGACTTTCATTCCCCTTTTAGATTAATCACAGCTTGAAACATTGTCCAAACCCAAGCAAACTGGGTAATTTTAAATAATCAATAATTTTAACTGTCCTTTCTTGGAATATGCTAGCTTGGGTTATGAAGCTGTTTGATTTCAGCAAGTCATAATTAAAGTCAACAATATTTTAGGGGTGGATTTGACACTAACTGTAGTTCTCTAAAATGTAAATTGCTACTTCTTCACAGCTATGCCGAAGGAATATACTAGTGAGGTAGCATGCGGGTTCAAGTCCTATTGCATCTTGTTCTCATAATTCTGTGGTTTAGTGTTACATCTGAATTCTTCAATATGAATTATTTCACAGACAGGCCACACACAGCCCTATATGATATGCAAAGGCTTTCCGTTTCCCTTCCTGCATCTTATTGTTCTTTCACTTTTGCTTGAAAAGTTCAAATGCAACAGCAATTGGCCATTTTTCCTTCTGAATATCCTGAAAAGATGAAGCTGCACAGCTGCTAATGACCAGTCTCTCCGTAGGAATCTGTATTACAGAGGAAAGCTCAAAAGGTACACATTTCACAAGGTGCACATTTCTTCCAGATGTTTGCCCTAAGCAGTGAAATCTATGCAAAGGAAAGCAATCCTTTCCAAGGCATAGGATAAAAGGAAACGATATTATATTGCTAATCATCCCCTATTACTTTTCCTTTAATCATCTTCCCCACCTCAACCCCACTCAGACATACTCAGAAAGCCTGCGCTGACTTCACATTGGGGGGGGGGGTACAGCTTAAAATGATCAAGAACTGCACTGCCTTTAATGTATTTCAACTCCAGATATTATACAAGATCTGAGATACTATACAAGAGCTTTGTTAAGGGCGGGGATGTAAAACTGCATCTCGCTGCTTCATATCTGTACTCTAACATTAAAATAATTGCCACCACAATCAGAGGGGTGAGCTGGGAATCCTTACTTTAAGAGGCTTTGTTGCTAAGGTCGATGGGATTAACCTCTCAAGCAGCAGCTCGTTTCAAAGCCCAGTTTCACAGTATGATCCCAGCTCAGGATTCGGGCAACGGCAAAAAGCTTAACATAGGAGCT